ACCATCTGCCTCCAACTGGGCTCTTTCTGTCACTCTAAAACCTTTATTAACTTTTCTGGATTCGCTATCACTCTCCACCAGTAACTGTTCCCTCCTCCTCTGCCTTGTTCAAGTTCCTAAACCCTCTACTCTCAACTTAAATTTCATTGGAAATTTCATCAGATTAAATGTGGTCATTCAGGTAGAGCAGTTACCATAGTGCCTGGCACATAGAGGGTTCTAAATAAAACACGTACTGTTATGACTGTTAATATTGAATGAATGCCATAATGTGTTGGATTAAAAGCTCGGGCTTTGGAGTCAGACAAACCTAAGGTTGAATCCTGATACTGCCATCTACTAGCTAATGAGCAAGTTGCTAAACCTCTCTAAGTCTCCGTTTTCTTATCTTGAAAATGGAAACAATAATATTACTACTTTAAAGGGATTTAGTGATAATTAAGTAAAAGTACTTATGTGAAACCATGAGAAGAGTATCTGTCACATGAGTACAGTGTTAAGCCACAAGGATTATTATTGCTGTTATTACTGTTAATACATCCACTTATTACTCTTCTTTTTCTTTCTTTTTTTTTTTTTTTTTTTTTTTTTTTTTTTTTGAGAAAATCATCATCTCCCTTGTGACAGACCACAGTTTTTAATGTCCTCACCTCCTCGGTATATTTCCATTTCTTCACAACTTCTTATTCTTTTTTTTTTTTAAGATTTATTTAATTTATTTATTTATTGGCTGCGTTGGGTCTTCGTTGCTGCACACAGGCTTTCTCTAGTTGTGGCGAGCAGGGGCTACTCTTGGTTGCAGTGCGCGGTCTTCTCATTGTGGTGGCTTCTCTTGTTGCAGAGCACCGGCTCTAGCGCGTGAGCTCAGTAGTTGTGGCGCACGGGCTTAGTTGCTCCGCGGCATGTGGGATCTTCCTGGCCCAGGGCTTGAACCCGTGTCCCCTGCATTGGCAGGTGGATTCTTAACCACTGTGCCACCAGGGAAGTCTTTTTTTTTTTTTTGCCGAGAGGCTTGTGGGATCCTGTTTCCCCGACCAGGGATTGAACCCATGCCCTCGGCACCGAAAGTGGGGAGTCCCAACCACGGACCACCAGGGAATTCCTGACAACCTCTTATTCTTTACAATAAATATTTGAGTACACCACTGTCTGCTGGGCACTGTTTTACGTGCTGGGATACTGGAGCCTTGGAGGAAGAAATCTCTCTTCTCTAAGGTCAATTCCTCTATCTGTACCTTGGATCCTTGTCCTTCCCAATCACCAAGGGATTTTTCTTGCAAACTTTCTGCCTCCCTCTTCTAGTATCTTAAACGGCCCCCTCTTCGTTGGCTCCTTCTCCTTTGCTTTAAAGAGGCTTCATGTTTTGTCAAGAATTTCTGTTCAACCCTTCTAACTAATTTAATTAAAATTGTATTTTTTTCCTTTTTATTTCCAAACTTCTTCAATATGTGGTCTCTCGTCTCCATTTACTCAGGATATCATCTCTCCTCAATTCCCTGTAACCTTGTTGCTACCCTCTAACTGACCACTTACCAAAACCACTTATTTTGTGATCTCCAGTGAATTCCTTGACACATCCAAAGAAAGTCTCTCAATCTTCATTTTCCATGTCCTGTTTTCAGCATTTGAACTGCTAACTCTCACCTCCATATTAATTCTTTATTTTTCATTTTCATTGATTGCGAACATTTTCAAATGTAGGAAAGTACATGGAATAACATAACCAGTATATGTACCCTCCACCCAGTTCTATCAAATCTGGCCAGATCCACTTTCAGATTGTGTTTAAAGAAATAAATATTTCAGATATAGTTATTTCTTGTATGCCCCTCCCCAGTCTCAGTCCTCTCCCTCTCTTGAATTTGGTGATGATCCTGCCCTTTCATGTTTTATATATTATTACTATTGCATGTATGTAGCCATAAGCAACAGGTAATATTTTCAGACTTTATATACTGTACATGTTTTGTAATTTTCTCTTTATGCTCAACATTATATTTTTGAGATTTTACTCTGTTCATACATGTAGCTTGAGCTATTCATTTTAATTTCAAAATAGTATTCAATTTCATGAATACCATGATTTATTTATTCATTCACCTACTGATGGACATTCAATTTGCTTCCTTTTTTTTTTTTTTGAGATTACCAATCATGCTGCAATGAGCATTCCTTTACATGTCTCCTTGTGCACAAAGGTTAGAATTTTGCCCAGGTCTGTAGCTAGAAATGGAATTTCTGGGTTGAAGGGTATTACCTATACAACTTTATTATACAATGTCAAATGGCTCTTCATAGCAGTTCTACCAACCTATACTCCTTATAGCAGTGATCAGTGTTCTATCTGTTCTACATTCTCAACAGCAGTTGGTATTGTCTGAATTTTTACATTTTTGTCAAAGCAATGATTGTTTCATAGTATCTCATGGCTTGAATTTTTTAAAATTTTTACTGGGGTATAATTGATTTACAATGTTGTGTTAGTTTCAGGTGGACAGCAAAGTGAATCTATTATACAAATACATAAATCCACTCTTTTTTAAGATTCTTTTCCCATATAGGTCATTACAGGGTATTGAGTAGAGTGCCCTGTGCTATACAGTAGGTCCTTTTTGTTATCTCTTTCATATATAGTAGTGTGTATGTGTCAATCCCAATCTTCCAATTTATCCCTTCTCCCTTTACCCACTGGTAACCACAAGTTTATTTTCTACATCTGTAACTCTATTTCAGTTTTGTAGATAAGTTCATTTGTAGCCTTTTTTTAGATTCCACATATAAGCGATATCATATGATATTTGTCTTTCTCTGTGTGACTTACTTCACTCAGTATGAGTATCTCTAGGTCCATCCATGTTGCTGCAATAGCTTGAATTTTTTATTTCCCTGAGTAGTAATGAGGTGAAGCACCCTTTCATGTCCTTTTGGCCCATTTGGATTTCCTTGACTCTGAATTGCTTATTCATATATCTTGTCAGTTTTTCTGCTAGGTTTCTTTCCTTTTTTTCTCACTGATTTGTAGGGGTTCTTATACATTCTAGATATGAATTCATTCATTCATTTAATCATGGGACTTCCCTGGCGGTCCAGTGGTTAAGACTTCACCTTCCAATGCAGGGGGTGCAGGTTCAATCCCTGGTCAGGGAACTAGGATCCCACATGCCTTGCGGCCAAAAAAACAAAACGTTTAATCAATATTTTTCTAGCATCTACTTTGTTCCAGGAATGGTTCTAGGCACTGGGAATGCAGGAATAATCCAAACAGATAAAAATCCCTGCCCTCATGGAACTTACATTCTAGTAGGGGAAGCTAAACAATAAACACAATTGATACGTAAAATAGAATAATGGATAATGATAAATCCTCTGGAGAAAAAATTAATAGGGAAGAGGAATAGGGAGTATGTGTGTATGGGAGTGGGAAAGGAAATTGTTGAACTGCAATTTTAAGTAAAATTCTCTAGGAAGACCTCACTGGGAAAGTGAGTTTTGAACAAAGACCTGAAGAAAGTAAGAGTGCAGGCAGAGTGAACAGCAAGTGCAAAGGCCCTGAGGCAAGAGTGTGCCTGGCAAGTCCTAGGAATAGCATGGAGCAGTGTTTAATTAAGCAGAGTGAGTTGGAGAGAGTGGTGGGAGAGGAAGTCAGAGAGGTGATGACAGCTAGAGTGTAGAACCTCATAGATTATCCTTTGTTAGTTATATGCATTGAAAACATATTTTCCCAGTCTGTGGCTTGTCTTTTAAGTTGCTTATGTTATCTCGAAGTGCATACATTTTGAAATTTAATGTAGTTAAATGTGTCAATCATTTCCCTTATTGTTTGTGCTTTTTAGTGTCTTAAGTAATCATTCTCATTCCCTATTCCAAGGTCATAATGATATTCTATTTTCTTCTGAAAGTTGTAAAGATTTGCTTTTCACATTTAGATCTTTATTCCACCAGATATTGATTTTTTTTTCTCTGTGGTGTGAGATAGGGATCTAATTTTATAATTTTCCATGTTGATTATCAATAGTTCCAGCACCATTTAGTGGATAATCCATTTTCCTCACTGATTTGAAATGTCAAATATGCTGCATAACAACTTTCCATATATGTGTAGATCTGTTTTGGGACTCTGTATTTGGTTCCATTGTTCTGTCTACCTCCATACCACACTGTCTTAATTACTATCGGTTTAAATCAGTCTTGAAATATAGGTCATGGTAGATTCTTGACCAAATGAATAACACAATTGAAACATTACTCTGGGAAGAATATTCTTATGACTGTCAACAGAGTAAAATGGTCAAAGGTGATATCACAAGGGCTTACGCTAAAGTGATGGCAGTTTGAATGGCGAGAAAACAAGGAATCTAAAAGTAATTCCAAAGAACATATTAACAAGATTTGTTGGCTGATTGCCTACAGAGCAATTAGGAGAGAGGAAGCAAGCACATGGCTTTGAAATTTCAAGCCTGGGTCACTGTGTGAAATAACGATGAGTTAGTTTTTTCATCCAATGCTTTGGTAACAATGGGTTATATTAGGCAAGGGATCTGGGCCAGAGATATATATTTGGTCTTTGCCTGCTTAGAGGTGACCTAGAGGGGGACCAAAGAAAGCAAAGGTCTGAGCTTTGGGGATTTTCCCTAGTTAGGTGGTGGAAGGAAGAAGTAGGGGGGGACATCTGAGAGGTATGGTAATCGGTACGGTGCATTCTATTAACCATAACAAGGATTTTTTGAATGGATGACGTAGGTCCTAGTAGCCCCAACACCTTTGAGTTCCCTCATTGGTATGACTGTGCTTTGGTTCTATGGCAATCTTCAAAGTCACCGGAACAAGTCTGTTGTCACAGGCAGCATTGAAAGCATATCCCTTGCTGGATGTGGGGAAGACGCCCCCGGTCCGACGGGTCTCTCCCTGCAGTTCCGCAGGTTGGCCGCAGGGGGCGGAATCTGCGGCGGCCTGGAAAACTGGCGGGGGCGGGAGGCGCCGCTCTCTCTCGGGTCAGGCTCCCGGCTCCCGGCTCCCCGCGCCCGGCACCCGGTGCCCGGCACGGAGCCGCTTCTCTAAGGACGTGCAGCCGAGGCGAGGGGGTGTGAGGACGCGGGAGGCAGTGTCGTCGGATCCGCCCGCAGTCCGCAGCCCCGCCGAGCCTGGAAGCTGCCGGGATGGAGCCGCCGCTCCCGCTTGGAGTCCAGCCCCTTGCCGTATCCGCCTGAGAGAAGGGGGGAGGGGAGGCCGCGCGGGGCGGAGGTGGGGGTCCGCGGGACTGCGGATCGCAGCAGAGGGGCGGCTAGGGGCCGGTCAGGACCCCAGGCCGAGCCGAGCGGGGGAGGGGGGCCAGCGCGGGAGGCGCTGTCTCCGACCCTGGGGAGGGAGGGTGGGCTGAGGGGCGGGAGCCTCCCTCCACCCCACACCGCGGGTCCCCTTCCGGGCAGCGCTTCTAGAAGAGACCCTTGACTAGCGCCTGCATACTATCGAGGGTATGGAGATAAAGGGTCCTGTCCGGGAGCCCTGCGCCCTGACCCTAGTCCAGAGGAACGGGCAGTATGAGTAAGTAACCACCTGATACCCACAGAGGAGGGGAGCCTACCATTACCTCCCAACCCCAAGCCGCGACAAGCCACCCACCCTCCTCCCACTGAGGCCGCGCAGGCAACAGGTTCGGGCCCAGGTGTGACGTGCCAGTGCTCTAACCACCGAGCTTTGTCCCCAACTTCCAAGCCGGTGGATTGATTGCTCCTGTCCGTGTGGCTCAGTGGAAGGACTCAATGGGCGGGGAAGCAGGAAGCCTGGGTTCTTAGTTCCTGCCCCTGCAACTGACATGGGTTGTGTAATCCTGGGCTAGTCAGTAAAGCTTTCTGGGCCTTAGTGTCCTCATCAGTTTAATAAAAACATTAACTGCTTTAATTTATAGCCTTTGGAGTTTTAACTGGGAGAATAATAAATGCGAAAGTGGTTTACAAAAAGTATAAGTACTGTAGAAACGCTTCATTGTTAACCTTACAGAGGTGCCTTTTCTTAACCTCATTCAGCTGGTTCCTCCAGTCTCACCACCCCCTTATTCCATGCGCTTGGAGGCATATTCATTAATTCAGTAATGGTTTTGTGTAGGCCAGTAACTGCCTCACTTATTGACTTGACAGTTAGAAAAAGTAATGAAATGTGTAGAAATGTAGACAACATTTGACATTTCATCAGGGTGTGTTACCTTCCACTCTGCCTTGCACATAGGAGCTCAGTAAAGACTGTTGACTGATTGATCAAAAGATTTTGATAAGCCATCACTATACTGCTGATCTCCCTTGCCACTAATGCCTCATCTAAAGTATCCCTGATGACCATCACATATCATAGGTAGGTCCCTATCGCTGTGTGCCCAAGCCACCTCCCCTGGTTGTTCACTGGTTTCTTGACATCAGTGAAGAATTGTTGATCACTGAAAATTTTTAAATTGTTGATCATTTAAATCCTGCCATCCCCCAACATTGGATTCTGCTTAAAAACAATTTTTCTCAGTCCCTGCTTTTAGATTGTCCAGACTCAATCTTTATCTATGCTGTCCACTTTACAGAGAAGAAATTCACACTGGCCTAGCCTGCCCTTTTCTGAGGCTCTTGGTGCCACTCTCAACTGGACGTCAACTGGTTCTATGGAGGTAGCTCTTCCCTAGATCCTGCTTGGTCAGTTCTGTTGATGTGATAAATTCATTTTATTTTTCCCAGATTTCATCAAACCCTGGAAGACCAGTTTAATGAAAGTAAATTCAACAGAAAAGTGAATTGAAAAGTGGAACACCACTGCCACTTCCAAAGGCAAGAATAGGGTGGGAAGATGTAAGCCTTGGGCAAATCAGTAAATTTTTTGTGCCTCGGTTTCCTCTTCTTAAAAACAAAATTATAAGGATTAAATAAAATAGCTACATTGTTGAGATGACCACATCCCGAGGTCTGGTCCCTTGGTTTGGTAGGTTTGGAACTCTATTCAGCTGATAAGGGAGTGAGCAGCTGGCCTTGAGGTAAATGCCTCATTCTGTCTGGTCTCTCGTACTGGAAGAACTTTTAACCTTGCAGTGGTAGCTCTCCTGATTATTTGTGTCCTCCCCATAGAGAAATCAAATTCTGTATTTCAGTTCTGTAAAATTTAAGGGTATAGCACAACTAACACTCAATGGCTTGATGTGTATCAGGTACTCTTCTAAGCATTTCATGAATTAGTTCATTTAACCCTCATGTGAGGGTTACTGTGAAATTGTAATATCATCATCATCATCCCCCTTTTCTAGATACAGAAGTTGAGGTGCAAAGAGGTTAAGTCATTTGTCTGAGTCATTACATTGTCTGAGAAGTTTCTTTTGAAATCATTTATTGGAGACACCTGATACTGTCAAACCATATATATATAACCCTCAAATCCTGGTCTCTTGGGTGCCTTCTCTGACTTGAGTGTCCAGAACTTTTTTACTTTGGGCCTTTTTATCCTAGAACTTGAAGCCTATTGCATTCTTTAGTTCTGTAGTTCCTGCTATCAACCATAGGAGAAATTTACTTGAGAGACTAAAATTACAATTAAAGGTAAGGCTTTTTTGCACACAAGGAATCAAACACTAACATTCATTTTTTTCAAGGCAAATGGATTATGATGCCACCTGTTGTTTCATCTTTAGCCTTCCTTGAACAAATCAAAGTATTTCCTAGGGATAATGCTGGGTCTGCATTCACAATTTTTTACTCTTTTCTGTTTCCAACTACCAAATTCTGATTTCCATTTTTTTGCCATATACCTATTATTTTTCACCTTTCTGTGTTGAAAGGAATGATTAGATTTAGGTAGAATTTTTATTCTTATTCTTAGCCCTACTCTCTTGTTATAATTTATTTAGTGACTAACACGTAGTAGATATTAAATAAATATTTGTGGAATTAACTTAAATTCCCAGTTTATGTTTTGTGATGGGTATTTTTTTGGGGGGTTGCATTTCTTTTTTAAATTGAGAAATAATTGATGTATAACATTGTATTAGTTTCAGGTGTACAACATAATTACTTGATATTTGTATATATTGTGAAATGATCACCACAATAATTCTTGTTAACATTCATCACCACACATAGTCAACAATTTTTTTCTTGTGATGAGAACTTTTTTTAATAAATTTATTTATTTATTTTTATTTTTGACTGCATTGGGTCTTCGTTACTGCGCACGGGCTTTCTCTAGTTGCGGCAAGCAAGGGCTACTCTTCGTTGCGGTGCACAGGCTTCTCATTGTGGTGGCTTCTCTTGTTGCAGAGCATGGGCTCTAGGCGCACAGGCTTTAGTAGTTGTGGCACATGGGCTCAGTAGTTGTGGCACATGGACTCAGTAGTTGTGGCACACGGGCTTAGTTGCTCCACAGCATGTGGGCTCTTCCTGGCCCAGGGCTCGAACCCGTGTTCCCTGCATTGGAAGGTGGATTCTTAACCACTGCGCCACCGGGGAAGCCCTGTTGTGATGAGAACTTTTAAGATTTACTTTCTCTTTATTTTTTAATAGATCTTTATTGGAGTATAATTGCTTCACAATACCCTGTTAGTTTCTGTTGCACAGCAAAGCGAATCAGCCATATGCATACATATGTCCCCATAGCCCCTCCCTGTTGAGCCTCTCTCCCACCCTCCCTATTCCACCACTCTAGGTCATCGCAAAGCACCGGAGCTGATCTCCCTGTGCTGTGCTGCTGGTTCCCACCAGCCAATTATCTTTTTTTTTTTTTAACATCTTTATTGGGGTATAATTGCTTTACAATGGTATGTTAGTTTCTGCTTTATAACAAAGTGAATCAGTTATACATATACATATGTTCCCATATCTCTTCCCTCTTGCGTCTCCCTCCCTCCCACCCTCCCTATCCCACCCCTCCAGGCGGTCACAAAGCACCGAGCTGATATCCCTGTGCTATGCATCTGCTTCCCACTAGCTATCTACCTTATGTTTGGTAGTGCCCAATTATCTTACATTCAGTAGTGTATGTATGTCGATGCTACTCTCACTTCGCCCCAGCTTCGCCCTCCCACCCGGTGTCCTCAAGTCCATTTTCTATGTCTGCCTCTTTATTCCTGCCCTGCAACTAGGTCCATAAGATTTATTCTCTTAAAAACTTTTAAATATACAGTACACTGTTATTAAGTATAGTCATCACTCTGTACATTACATCCCCATGACTTATCTGTTTTATAACTGGAAATTTGTACCTTTTGACCCCTTTCACCCATTTCATCCCCCCCACCACCACCTGCCTCTGACAACCACCAATCTGTTCTCTGTGTCTATGAGTTCAGTATTTTGTTTTTCTATTTCACACATAAGTGAGATCATGTGGTATTTGTCTTTCTCTGTCTGATTTATTTCACTTAGCATAATGCCCTCAAGGTCCATCCATGTCATTGTCTGTTTTGTGATGGTTTTTAACGATACAATCCAGTTGAATCTTTACTGCTGATGCTCAACACCATTTCTATACTGTGTTACTTGGGAATTATATTGGTTTTTGTTCATTTTCCTCAAAGTAAGCTCTTCCTCCTTGATCCTTGCTTTGTCAGTCTTATCTACTTTCTGGTCTCCATCTGGGTTTATAGGATTCTCTGCTTGACTCATGAACTTTGCAGTTTGAAAAGGGCCTGCCCCATATTCTTGTAGTCACCTTAAAATATTAAACCCCTGCAGATTAAGCAAGCAGGATCAGAGCAGAAAGACAGCATCAATACTTTTATTTCCCTTAGTCCTGTCTAAGCAGTTCCTTTCCCCAAGTTAACTCCTTCAAAGTTAACACATTTGAAAAAACTTTCAAAAAGCTAAAACGATAAGCCTCCCCAAAAGACAACAAAATGGAAATCAAACCTTTCAGAACAATGACTTCTAATATCACATGTTGAAAAGGTGTATTTAGAAATTCATCTCTGTTTATAGCTTAATTAAATGTTTGTTTATTCAACCAATATTTATTGAGCATCTATTAGGTAGGTGACAAAATTGAATATGATAGGGTCTTTGCTTTCAAGGAGCTCAAATCTGAGGGAAATAAATGTAACTATAACAGAGTGTGTTAAGTGCTCTATTTGAGGGGCAGGCAAAGGGCATGAGGCCAAGTTTCACAGAGGAGGTGATAGTTGAGCTAGGTCTCAGGAACAAAAGAAGAGAGTTCCTGGCAAAAAGAACCACTTGAAGAGTGATTTGGGGGGAAGGTAGGAGATGTTCAGAATGGCCATTTACCAGTAGGTTATACCTTGACTGTGGGCCACTAAGAATAAGTAGTAAATGAAAAATAGTATTTAAGGAGTACATAGGAATTTAGAAATCTTGCATTTCATACTGGGGGGCCATGTTCAGTCATGCTTACCAGAAGTACTATCATGGAATTAGAAACCATGGTAAAAACACAAGGGACGTAAAGGCAATCTGGTTGTGATATCTGCTACCTTATTGGTCACTGGGATTATTTTGACTGATTCAGCTGGCTGGGCACCTCCTCTTACTTCTCCATGAACCTGTATATTTGTTTGAAGAGATAGAATTATTCTTTGATAAAAGCCATGGGAATATAACCAGAAAGCTAATTGATGAAATTTATAATACACTTATTCAACAAACTTGAGTGGCTACTATGTGCCAGGTACTGTACTAGGTGCTAGAAATACTATGGTGAAAAGACAGCCATAGTCCCTGCCCTCATGGACTTCACACGTAGCTATTAGTTCTTCTCTCTGGTATGTGTCATCTGAAGGTGTGTGCACTGTAATTCATGCTCTTAAGTTTGTAAAGTGTTTTTAGGACATAGACTATTTTATGTTCTCTGTGGCATAGAACTGTGGGTATTCAGATACTGATCACCACTAATATGCTTTTAGACCTAAAGCAATATCATCATGATACTCAGATCCAGGGAACAAGATACAGCAAGTCTAATAAATACAGACTAGATTTGTATAACAACACAGCAATGTATTTTGTCGTTAAATGTTTGAGTTTTTCAGTAGCTATTCGTTGATGCATTCTTCTGTTTCCTAGGCTAATAATCCGGTTGCACAAGAAGGAACAGCATGTTCAAGATATCATTCCTATAAATAGCCACTTTAGATGTGTTCAAGGTACTAGCTTTAATTGCTTAGCTAGTTTTATAATGTTTTTCCTTGGTCATTATTGCTTTGTATAATACCATACATATTTAAATTTGTCACTGCACATAAAATGAAATGTATTACAGTCTGTGCAAAAAGATAACATTACTCATCTACCATTGAGAAGATGATAAATGCTGTTTAAGAACCCTGAAGGATTATATTGATATATATATATATTCTTACCTGCTACCCTGGCTGGGGTTAGAGATGTATGTAGTCTGTTACCTACGTAGGTAGTCTTTTATGCTGATGAACCTATATGTGGATTTTAATCACATTCTTGGGTTTAACTGATACACTGCTCATTGTAAGGTATCAAGGTCACTTGAATTCACATGCGTTCAGCACTTTCTCCCCACACTATTTGAAATTAAAACATTTGGCAACAAGCCTTGCCAGATTGTAATACCTTACACTCAATTGTGCTGATTCTCAAACCTTTGCATTGGTGAATCATAAGAAAATCGACTCTGGGGAGGAAATATTTGGCTTCCTGCCTTCGAATTTGGGGAAAGAGAACAGAAAATCTGTTGTTTCATCTGCTACAATGAGACTCAAAAATTGGGAGGTTTGTGTAGGAGGTGTTGCTTCTGTCATTTCACATTGCTCTAGAAAGGAAATAGATTATTAGAGAACAAATGCATTGTGTTTCCAGTGGGTTCATTGGCTTCATCAGACAGGCATTCTGTGTCAGCTGTAGCTTCTTGGAAAACTTGAATCCTACCTTGCATGGTTCTTTCTTAAACTACATTCAACTTTTTTTTATCACAAAACTAATATATATATATACTGTAAAAAGTTTAGAAAGAACAGAAAATTATAAAGGAAATAAGTAAATTCACATCCTTCAGAGATAAACACCTAACATTTTCCTTTTTTCTACACCTGTAACTTTTAGGGTGGGTGGGACTCATACTGTATGTAGATTTTTGTCTGTTCCACATGCCATCATATTATAAGTGCTTTTACATGCTATTAATAGCTGTCTGTATACTATTCCATTTTATGAATGGCCTATACTGTAGTTATTCCCGGTGTTTGACATTCAGGTTATTTTTTGTTAGTATAAATAAGTAATGAATCTTCCTGCATGTCTCTTATTTCCTTAGGATTTATCTCTGTAAGTAGAAATACTAAGTGGGCATGACTTTTTAAGAGAGCATGTATTAAGAATTAAAAATACCCACAGTGAATAGAATCCACATTGTATAGAAGAATGAAGTCTTTTATTTAGCCATTTAGCCTGCCCTGTGTGAGAGAGACATATTGAACGAGGCACCTGCATGCTCTAGTAAGTTACTGTGGTCACCTCACTTTTCATAGTGTAGTACCCTTTGTTACATGCTCAGCCCTTTAAGGAGGAGAAGAGCCAAAGAACATGACGTTAGTATCCTATTAACTCTGTACCTTTTTGTGCTATCAGTACTTCTAGAGTCTCGTTTACCCTGTTTCTCTTAGTCTTATTTTTAATAAGAAATAGATGGCAGGTTGCTAGATTGGAATCTAGGAAAATATGTGTGCACACACACAGTAGTTCCCCATGACAAAAGGAACGGTTACCTCCTTGAGTTTTCACATCCTTTGTTTCCCAACCTGTACATCTATTTTGAAAAGTCTCTAAGTACTTCGGTTTTAAAGAATTAAAGTTATCAAAGAGCAGTTGTGAACATGTAATACCTATGCCCTGATGCACTGTTGTCCCTTGCTTCATTCATCATGCTAGTAAAAGTATCAAGACTATTCTCTAATATTAGACAACTTAGGTAATTATCAGTTGCTTCTGTTGCACCTGAGTAATGGAGCCAAATATACAATCCAGGCTAGTGAGGGAACTAGAAAAGGCTGAGCCTACTACATTTGACCAAGGTAGATCCAAACGAATCCCAAGGAGTCAGTACCCAGAGTTTAACTAGCCAGGAGGGTCGGGCAGGTGCCGTTGGCCAAATCCAGGGAAGTCAGAGAAGAAGAGATGGGTTGGGTCTAGACACTAGAGGTAAGGAAGAAAGTCCAGGTGAGCCATAGAGAGGAAAGAGGACTCTGAACTTGGAGACTGTTTTTTGGCCCATTTTATACTTCCTTGTTGGGTGTGGTAAGCCTTGGATCCACAAGTGTTAGTGGTAGACTGAAGATAAAGAACTTCAAGTATTCTCTGCTCCTGTATGGGACAGGGGTGGAGGTAATGAGGTCCCTGGGAAATTTTCAGAGACTAGATTTGAGTTAAGAAGGTAATTCACTTTTAGGCCTTTGGGGTCACTTTCTCGGCTTTTTATAAGAATTATCTAAGTGATACAGTTAGATTATATTAAGTTAGTGTGTTATAGTTGAGGGGAATTAAACACCTTCACTTGGATTAACATGTTATATTCCCTACTATTGTCATTGCTTGATTTGCTTTGAGGCATTCCATGTGGTTACTTGTTCAGTTAATTTTTCTTTTAGTTGAATTGCTCATAGTCTTTAGAACATAGTGCTGTTAAAATCCCCTTTAAAAAAATGCTAAACAAAAAAGCAAAGGATTTTTTTAATGTGTTCTAAAACCTAGGAGTGGTGATTGAGAGAAGTAGTTATTTAGTTAGGTGTATACTTCTTTTGGTTGAAATGAATGGTTTTCTCTTTCCTGATTCTGTTCTTTCTTCTTTTCCTTCAGAAGCAGAAGAAACTCTTTTGATTGACATAGCTTCAAACAGTGAGTATCTTTCTGAATGGAGTTGATTTTCATTCAACAAATATTTACTTGAATACCCACTGTATTTAAGACACCTTTTTTGCACAACTTTTATCTTACCATTTTATCCTGTATTCTCCATTTTCTTAAGGCAGCCATACAAATAAGCATTACCTCCCAAAAACATTTAGCCTAAGCTTAAGAAAAAGCAGGTGGCTGGCAAGAATCTTTAAAAAGTTGAAAATATGATCTGCTTTTCTAATGCTGAACTTCTTTGAACTACCAGTATTGTTGCTAGCAGTTAAGTCATTGCTGTGGAATTGAAAATTGTAGGAGGGGCCAGTAAGTGTTTAAAGCACATAAGGTTTATGAGTGTTTTTTTCAACTGCTATTATGTTTTAAGCTTTTCTCCCCCCATCCATTTTTTTATTTTTGCATGTTAAATCATAATGTTTTCCTTTGTTTGTTATATTATTTTGGGAGGCTACAGAGTCCCTCTTGTACCAGGGATACCTTTTTTTTCTTAAAATAATTTTGGTCTTTTATTTAAGCCCATCCTCTCAAGGCATTTCTTTATCAGCGAGAACATGGTCTTCCTTCTCACTGTTTCTGTTCTCTCATTTTTATCTATTTGAAGCAAATCATCACTGACTTTCTGTGCAAGCTGTTCTCCATTTATCATCTAAAATTGTACTCTGTTAACATGGGGAGGAGAAAATGGGCACTTGAAAGCTACTGTATCTACTCTGTGTTTGCTGTGGGAAAGAGTATATGACCACATGAATCTAAATCAAATGGGTTACCTTATCTCTTGGCTGAGTCCTTGGATGAGTGGGACTTGGCCCTTAGCTTGGGACTATCAGTTTATACATAATTTTGCTTAGACACGGTCCCTGTCCTTGGCACTATTATTTTGTATTGCAAAGTTTAGATAGACTTTTTCTGGTTTGGGTTTATTAATTCTTTGTTTTGGTCATAGATTTTGGAAGTCTTAAGGGTTGATCCTGAAAGGCTGAGCACTTCCAGCTTCTAGCTTCTACTACAGATATCCAAGAGAGCAAATAACTTAATAGCTATGTCTTATTGTACAGAAAAAGCAGAAGGCAAGAACAGCACTAATAAAGCAAAATTTGAGCAAAGTTTGTTCAGCAGTGACTGACATTGCTGCTGAAATCTGCTGAAATACCTAAATGTCCTGTTCTTAGTGTGGAAATAGGTATTTGATCCAAAGCTGAAAAGTTAAACTGAGCTGTGCCTTTTCTCTTACAAACACCTAATTTATAGCATCCGTTTTGTTGGTCTCTCCTACATAGAAATTAACCATGTGTTGCTCTGTCCAGAGTTCAAGTCACTGGATCATATGGGAAGTAGTTAAGTAACCACTTGAATAAAATCCTTTGTTATTTCTGCCCATTTACTAATATTTGCACTGAAACTAGATTTTTATCTTGATGCTTAGGCTTCATACATAAACCTTTAGAGTACACAGTATGTTGCTGGAGAGAGACCTTGGGTTTGTTAAGCAGGCCTGATTTTACTGTAACTGTGTATTTTCCCACTGTCTGGATGTTAGTATTAAACATTTTTTAAAAATTTCTGATTATACAGGTAATACATCCTCATTATGTACAATTTGGAAAATTCAGAAAAGTTTGGAGTATCAAATTAAAATTACGCTCCTGAGACTTAGAGATCACCACTGTAATTAACATTTTTATGTATCTCCTTCCAGTCTTTTATTTATATTTTTACATAATTGGAATCCTCATATGTAGTTTTTATTCTGCATTTTCATTTAACAGTATATTGTGACCTTTTCCCATGTCATTTAAAATTATTTAAAAACATGATTTTTTTCTTTTTTTTTTAGTATTAGTTATTTTATTTGTTTGTTTGGTTTTTTATACTGCAGGTTCTTATTAGTCATCAATTTTATACACATCAGTGTATACATGTCAATCCCAATCGCCCAATTCAGCACACCACCATCCCCACCCCACCGCAGTTTTCCCCCGTTGGTGTCCATTCTCTACATCTGTATCTCAACTTCTGCCTTGCAAATCGATTCATCTGTACCATGTTTCTAGGTTCCACATACATGCATTAATATACAATATTTGTTTTTCGCTTTCTGACTTACTTCACTCTGTATGACAGTCTCTAGATCCGTCCATGTCTCAACAAATGACTCAATTTTGTTCCTTTTTATGGCTGAGTAATATTCCATTGTATATATATACCACAGCTTCTTTATCCATTCACCTGTCGATGGGCATTTAGGTTGCTTCCATGACCTGGCTATTGTAGATAGTGCTGCAATGAACATTGCAGTGCATGTGTCTTTTTGAATTATGGTTTTCTCTGGGTATATGCCCAGTAGTGGGATTGCTGGATCATATGGTCATTCTATTTTTAGTTTTTGAAGGAAGCTGCATGCTGTTCTCCACAGTGGCTGTATCAGTTTACATTCCCACCAAGAGTGCAAGAGGGTTCCCTTTTCTCCGCACCCTCTCCAGCATTTGTTGTTTGTAGATTTTCTGATGATGCCCATTCTAACTGGTGTGAGGTGATACCTCATTGTAGTTTTGATTTGCATTTCTCTAATAATTAGTGATGTTGAGCAGCTTTTCATGTGGTTCCTGGCCATCTGTATGTCTCCTTTGGAGAAATGTCTATTTAGGTCTTCTGCCCATTTTGGATTGGGTTGTTTGTTTCTTTACTATTGAACTGCATTAGCTGTTTATATATTTTGGAGATTAATCCTTTGTCCATTGAATCATTTGCAAATATTTTCTCCCATTCTGAGGGTTGTCTTTTCGTCTTGTTATGGTTTCCTTTGCTGTGCAAAAGCTTTGAAGTTTCATTAGGTCCCATTTATTTATTTTTGTTTTTATTTCCATTACTCTAGGAGGTGGATCAAAAAGATGTTGCTCTGATTTATGTCAAAGAGTATTCTTCCTCTGTTTTCCTCTAAGAGTTTTATAGTGTCTGGTCTTACATTTAGGTCTCTAATCCATTTTGAGTTTATTTTTGTGTATGGTGTTAGGGAGTGTTCTAATTTCATTCTTTTACATGTAGCTGTCGTGTTTTCCCAGCAACACTTAGTGAACAGACTGTCCTTTCTCCATTGTATATCCTTGCCTCCTTTGTCATAGATTAGTTGACCATAGGTGTGTGGATTTATCTCTGGGCTTTCTATCCTGTTCCATTGATCTGTATTTCTGTTCTTGTGCCAGTACCATATTGTCTTGATTACTGTAGCTTTGTAGTATAGTCTGAAGTCAGGGAGTCTGATTCCTCCAGCTCCGTTTTTTTCTCTCAAGACTACTTTTGCTATTCAGGGTCTTTTGTGTCTCCATACAAATTTTAAAATGATTTGTTCTAGTTCCGTAAAAAATGCCATTGGTAATTTGATAGGGATTACATTGAATCTGTAGATTCCTTTGGGTAGTATAGTCATTTTCACAGTATGGATTCTTCCAATACAAGAACATGGTGTATCTCTCCATCTGTTGGTATCATCTTTAAGTTCTTTCATCAGTGTCTTATAGTTTTCTGCATACAGGTCTTTTGTCTCCCTAGGTAGGTTTATTCCTAGGTATTTTATTCTTTTTGTTGCAATGGTAAATGGGAGTGTTTCCATAATTTCGCTTTCAGATTTTTCATCATTAGTGTATAGGAATGCAAGAGATTTCTGTGCATTAATTTTGTATCCTGCAACTTTACCAAATTCATTGATTAGCTCTAGTAGTTTTCTGGTGGCATTTTTAGGATTCTCTGTGTAGTATCATGTCATCTGCAACCAGTGACAGTTTTACTTCTTTTCCAATTTGTGTTCTTTTTATTTCTTTTTCTTCTCTGATTGCCATGGCTAGGACTTCCAAAACTATGTTGAATAATAGTGGTGAGAGTGGACATCCTTGTCTCGTTCCTGATCTTAGAGGAAATGCTTTCAGTTTTTCACCCTTGAGAATGATGTTTGCTGTGGGTTTGTCATATATGGCCTTTATTACGTTGAGGTAGGTTCCCTCTATGCCCACTTTCTGGAGAGTTTTTATCATAAATGGGTGTTGAATTTTGTCAAAAGCTTTTTCTGCATCTATTGAGATGATCATATGGTTTTTATTCTTCAATTTGTTAATATGGTGTATCACATTGATTGATTTGCATATATTGAAGAATCCTTGCATCCCTGGGATAAATCCCACTTGATCATGGTGTATGATCCTTTTAATGTGTTGTTGGATTCTGTTTGCTAGTATTTTGTTGAGGATTTTTGCATCTATATTCATCAGTGATATTGGTCTGTAATTTTCTTTTTTTGTAGTATCTTTGTCTGGTTTTGGTATCAGGGTGATGGTGGCCTCATAGAATGAGTTTGGGAGTGTTCCTTCCTCTGCAATTTTTTGGAAGAGTTTGAGAAGGATGGGTGTTAGCTCTTCTCTAAATGTTTGATAGAATTCACCTGTGAAGCCATCTGGTCCTGGACTTTTGTTTGTTGGAAGATTTTTAATCACAGTTTCAATTTCATTACTTGTGATTGGTCTGTTCATATTTTCTATTTCTTCCTGGTTCAGTCTTGGAAGGTTATACCTTTCTAAGAATTTGTCCATTTCTTCCAGGTTGTCCATTTTATTGGCATAGAGTTGCTTGTAGTAGTCTCTTGGGATGCTTTGTATTTCTGCGGTGTCTGTTGTAACTTCTCCTTTTTCATTTCTAATTTTATTGATTTGAGTCCTCTCCCTCTTTTTCTTGATGAGTCTGACTAATGGTTTATCAATTTTGTTTATCTCCTCAAAGAACCCGCTTTTAGTTTTATTGATCTTTGCTGTTGTTTTCTTTGTTTCTATTTCATTTATTTCTTCTCTGTTCTTTATGATTTCTTTCCTTCTGCTAACTTTGGGTTTTGTTTGTTCTTCCTCTAGTTCCTTTAGGTGTAAGGTTAGATTGTTACTTGAGTTTTTTCTTGTTTCTTGAGGTAGGCTTGTATAGCTATAAAATTCCCTCTTAGAACTGCTTTT